GTGGCGCAGCCCGCCCGCCCCGCCCACGGCTGAGGGGCCGCTCCCGCCGCCCGCTCTCTCGCTCCTCCTCCGAGCCGAGCCTGCCGGGAGAGAGAGAGCGAGGGGCCCTCAGCGGGGCTGGGGGACGGGGCCGGCCCGCCGCGGGGCTAAAGGCCGTCCTCCGCCTCACCGAACCCCCGGAGGGCCCCGGGACGCGCCTCCGTCTCCCGGCGGTGCTGCAGTTTTATTGTCTAAAGAAGTATTTCAGCCGTAAATAGTTAGAAAGGCAGCCTGACTAGAGCCTGTTTCCCCGGGTGCATGGAAAGCAAGAAACTCTCGGTCAGAAGATGGGAAGACCGAGCCTAGGCTGGGTGCTAAAAATGTGAATCTTCTGGCCATATTTAATTGGAGAAAGTAATCACAGTGTTAAGGAGTTGGGGTTTTTTTTCCTTCACTTTCTGTGGGACAAGAGTTACGCAAACAGGCTTGACGTCCCTGCTATCCTGGAAGCAGCATGGCTGTTTTTAAACCACATAAATATTTCATAGACTGGGCGGTTGGTTTTGCTTTCTAAAGAAACAGTTATCAAAGGAACCGTACTTTTTCCTCATATTGCGCATCTCTGCAGTAAATAGCAATCCCGACTGGGAAAGGAAAGTACGTCAGGAGGGGTTGTGCAGCCTGGCGTTGGAGAGTACCCACAGTCACACCAGCATCACCTGCGTGTGCGGGACGAGGACTGACCGATCCCTCCCCATGCTCACCTTTCTGCAGGCGCCCACGTCCACGGGCCATCCTGGCTCATCTGTTTCTCCAGCATCTTGGCCTGCAGCTCGAATTTCTGCGCCAGGTTCTGCAAGCTTGAGTCCAGGTCTGTGAACTGAGCCTCCAAGGTTTGCAGCTTGGTTTCTACTCTGAGGGATGGAAAACAAGGGCATTTCATAAGGACTTGGGCATCAACCGGTGTCACTTGCTGCAGTGATGGCGGGTGACACTTATGTTGCACTGTGAACAGCTCCAGAGCCCATTCTGGGGCTCCTCCCAAGCTGTATGGGAACGTACACAGCTAGAAATTAATTTTTTTTGATGTTGCCCAGGTCTTTTTGGCCCTTCCCTGGTGCAGAGGTCTTATAACTTGTAAAAACAGATGCAAGACTTGTATTTAGATACGTCTGCAGGTCTCAATCATTTGCATTAATGTTGGTGGTGCAGTTTTTTTCTCTCATACATTTGGAGATGATTTGTGCTTTTGCTTGTAGTGTCAAGATCTTTTGAACCATTTTCATTTGACATTGAACAGAACTTCTCATTCCTCCTCAGATTAAAAATGATGCAAGTAATAAATAAGCCACCCGCAGTGTTTCTTCTCCCGTCAGCTCACCCTGCTCTGGTTTTCCCTTTTATAGGACTGTTGTTTCACAGAACAACTGTGTGATAAGAAGACCTTGGTGAAACAGCACTAAGAAAACTGCTTTGTAGCTGGTATTTGTTAGCTGCTTTTTCATTACTCAGTATCTGTTGCAGTTTTCCTTACTAAAAAAAAAAAGGTGCATCTTTGTAGTCTCTTAAATTATAATCCTAAAGGTGGGGGTTTGAGTCTGAGCTACTTCACTTTTGCTTAAGAAAACTGCCAGGTTTAAAAGAACTTACTGTGTTTAGGGACAAAGTATGAGGGAATGCAAGTATTTATGCTTTGTACCCGTTGGCAGCTCTTTACTCAAGGAGTAGGATATGTTGGTCTTCTGTCCTTCCGGGGGTGGCTTTTGTAAAGACAGTTTGCTTTAAGTTTGCCTCAGTTAGCTGATTTATGTTGAGGTGTGTCCTTGAGAATCCTGAGGATCTCAAAGCTATCAACATATGAATCATTCAAAGTTCTTTCCTAAATACTGAACAAATATCTCAGTACTATGTACCCTACAAGCAATTTACTAGCAGAACATCAGCCACTCCTTACAGACTTTTGTGATTTTTCTTTGCATTTTAGTGGCAGAACTTCAGGCTGTATCAGTTAAAAACTATGCCATTGCTAAATTTTATTACGGGCAAGACCCTACATTTTTTTCTTTAGCCCCTCTTTCTTCATCCCCAGTTTGCTCCACTGCTTCTGTTACTATTGTTATTGTATTGTTCTAATGTTTAAGAAATTGGATTCTGATTGTGTTCTACCTGTGTTAAACACTGCATTAAGGTCTTTATCTTGTTTGTTGTGGCCCTATTTCATTTATCTTTGGCTGAACATTTTTGTAAGGACAAAATACACAGTAGTTTTCAGGTGATGACGTTAAAAAAAACCAACCACCCACAAAAAACACCCTGCAAACAAACAGAGGTTAACTTCAGATTGGATGAACAGCAGATTAAATAATTTACCATTAGTTTTCCCTTCTTTCACACATATTCCACAGTATTTTGAAGCCTGTTTTAAGAGAAGAACCAAGAACGTCATTGCTTCACTAACAGTAGCCCCCCCCTCTACCTGCCTTCCTCTTCTCCTGCTTTGGGTTCTGTCTGCAGTTGACCTGAGTGAGGAGAAAATAAAAAGGCATCAACAATGGCATGTTTTTCTATGTCTCCCTGACAGCTTGTGCAGATCCTCATCTAATGATTTGCTGTTGTTTCCTGAGGCTAGGAGACTTCCTTTGCCATCTTGTGAAAACTGCTTACATACTGACCTCACTTTGGTAGGGCTCCTCTTGCTTCAGCAAGATTTTTATTTCTCAGAGCCTCCTGTCTCCTGCTGGGTCACAGCAGAGATTTTGAAACTGGGCCCAGTTCTTACTGGGCGTTGGATTTCAACTAATTATTGTCCCTCACGTTGCACATCATTCCTGCACTAACTTTTGGGGAAGGGGGGATGTCACCTGTTTAAATGTATTTATGTGTGCATACTTGCTGAGAGAATTTCAGGACTAAAATAGAATTTAACTGAAAAATTGAGCTTGTGTGATGTAGAAATGCAGGTAGTTCAGAAGAATCAGAAGAGTCGATACGTCATAACGGGATTGAGTCTGTCAGCACACAGAGAGCAAGTGTATAACCTGAGGTGAGGTGGGTCAATACTTGCTGTGAATAAGTTTCACATCCACTTCATATCTATAGCTGCACAAGCAGAGAACAACAATCTAATAGGATAATACAATGTGGTAGTGCAGAAACTCCAATAGTAAGAGTTTCAAGAATAACACAGTGCAAGCACTCTTTGAGAGAGAGGGGGGTAATTATCAGAAAATTAGTATATTCTTCAGGGTTTGCTGGGTGGATAATGAGAGCTGTCCTGGGAGAGATACTTGCCTGTGAATTGCTCCCCGATTTGGAGCTTTTTATCAAGGTAAATAAGCTTCCTAATGGCTCATTGTTGCGAGCTTTCTCCTCTACAAATTAAAGTTACCAAAGATCTCATCATTAATGCTACTGTCAGCACTGTAGTTGTTTTTCAGCAGCCTTTAGTCCAATGCTTTCATATTTGCCCAGTTTTGTCTTTCCAGCACTTTTTTGATACGGGGTGTATTGCCTGTCTGTAAATTACTCCTGTGTATTTTTAAGCATCTGTAGCGAACATTTCAGCATTTGCTAATTTTGGTTCTATAAACGTTTGTTCAGTTACACCATGGTAGAACCAATCTCAGTAACTAATCATATACAGCTTTTTGTAAATTCTGAAAGAATCAGTGCTGCTGTCTCTTGAGCAAAATTCTGAATGAAACGAGGAAGAATAGATTAAACCTCCTGCTTTCATTTCAGTCATGACCTCTAAACACTTCTTCCTTTAATGTAAGTGAAGTTACCATTGAGTCGGTCTAGTGTATGCACAAACCACATCCCCATTCTTTACCAGAAAGCTTTTAAAGTTCTCTTCTTGTTAGCATCCAGAACATACTTGGAAGATTTGCAATAAAAGCTCTAGCACTCCCACTTTTCTGAAAGCATGGTTGTATATGTAACCTTATTTCTGCTGTTCGGGCATTTACAGAAAATGACATTTTTCATTACTTTAGAGCTGTCACATCAGTTTTATTTTCCAGGCCAATGCAGAGCCCCACACTTCGCTACAGCTCTTCCTGTACGCTCACTTCATGGTACCAATTAGATGCATGCTTCTTCAATCAGTTTCCCACAAACTTAATTTTCACTTTTTCTTTCAGGAATGGTTCCTGCATTTCTG